GGAGTGCCATAGTGTGCGTGCCTGGGACAGGAGGAGGACGCGAACGAGGAGCGCGACGAGCAGTGCGAACGGGCGAGACAGGACGAGACGCAGGCTCACGACGCTCTGTAAGACCTCCGGACTGCTCAGTGTAAGGAGAGGGAACAGGCAGTGGGGAGGCTGGCTGGAGCGGCGGCTGCGACTGGTCAGGCGGTGGACACAGGAAGGGAGGAGGAAGACCAGTAGAAGACGGGACACCAAGAACCTGCTGAAGCAGAGGAACGAAGTACGGACGCGGCCGCACAGCGCCTCCAGCACCTCCAGCTCCAGGGTCAACAGATCCAGCTCCTGCAGCTCCAGCAACTCCTACTCCAGGGCCTCCAACCCCAGCTACACCAGCTCCAGAGCCTCCAGCGCCAGCTGCTCCAGGCTCCGTAGGGTCTCCAGCTCGAGTAGTAACAGCAGCACCTCCAGCTCCAGTCTCTCCCGGCTCGCCAGCTCCGGGAGCTCCACTCCGACGGTGTGCGCGCTGAACAAGCCACTCACGCAGCTGCTGCGAGGACAGTCGCGGTGAAGCACCAGCAGGTCCTCCAGACGAAGCAGCACCCCGAGGCTCAGCACCCCCAGACTCCGCACCCTCCGACTCAGCACCCCCAGGCTCCGCACCCTCTGACTCAGCACCCCCAGGCTCAACACCCTCAGGCTCAGCACCCCCAGACCCAGCACCCTCAGACCCCGCACACCCCGGCTCCGCACCCCCAGACGCAGCACCCCCAGGCGCAGTACCTGGAGTAGCACCTGAGACGACAGCTACCTGAATAGGCGCAGGACCAGGGAGGGGGTCGACCTGAGACACTCCCGAGGGAGCAGGACCCTGGGGCGGGAGGGGGTCTACCGGAGGTGGACCGGGAGCAAGGAAGAGCGGCGGGGGCGGGGGAGGGGCAGAGCGGTAGGGGAAGAGACGGTAGAAGGGAACCGACTCGTCGAACGTGACGTCCTGAGACGGGAGGATACGGCGCGAGGTGGGGTGGTAAAACTGCCAGCCAGGCGCGTCAGGGACAAAGCCAAGGAAGACGCAGGCAATGGCGCGGGCGAAGAGCTTGTCCGCAGACGTATCGCGAACAAAGGCACGAGAACCCCAGACCCGGAATACCGACGCATCGCCAACCTTCCCCGTCCAACGCAGTGTGGGCGAGGTCTCCGGCAAGGAGACACGGGGCCAGAGGTTGAGCTGATGCGCAGCGTACCGGACCGCAAACGGTCACTGAAAATGGGGAGCGGCCGCATGGATCATGGAGGTACGAGCGACCTCCATGACTAAGCCAATGCGGCGCTCAGCAATCCCATTTTGCTGAGGGGGGTCCGGAAGCGTGAACGACTGGGTGATGCCCTCCCCACAACAAAAGTCCCGCAAGAGGTCGGAGGAGAACTCACCACCTCTGTCTGAGTGCAGACGCAGGACAGGAAGGTCCTGGCCGAACTGCTCGCGCAGCTGGAGACGGACTGTGCGGATCCAAGGGATCAAGACAGCAGAGACCTCACCCTTGCTGCGCAAGGGGAAGACTGTGGTGTACCGCGTGTAGTCGTCAACAACCAGCAGAAAGTAGCGCTCGCGGCCCTGTCCACTGACGCGGGCTGGGCCCCACACGTCCATGTGGAGGGTCTGCAGGGGAGCAGTCGTCGGGGGAAACGAGGAGGAGTGAGGAGCGGCGCGCTGCCGCCCCTTGACGCAAGGAAGACAGGGAGGGGCAGGCGAGGGCGGTAAGGGAGGCAGAGACCTGGGGAGACTAGAGACAAGGAGACGGGAGTGCATGCCACGAAGGCGTGGCAGGGAGGGGTGACCCAGGCGGTGGTGCCAAAGAAGAGTCTGGTGCGACAGGAGGCGACACGAGCAAGAGGCGGCTACCTGACCTGACGCGGACACCTGAGAAGACGCAGCGACCTAAGGAGGCTCGGTAGCCAGCGTGTACAGACTCGACCCTGGCCGACGAGTGAACGTAGCCAGGTGACGCCGCGTCCGTGTGCACGTGCAGATCGACACACGCTGACCCCCAGGAGTGGTGGTAGTGACCATCGCATCCTGAAGGGCAGCGGTACTCACCAAGTTCGTAGAGAACGAGGGGAGGTGAAGACCTGACAGTGAGCCGGACGGAACCGCCGGACACGGGAGGACAGTGGAGGAACTGGCAACGACCGGGCTCCCAGAGGGGTCAGCCAGTCTGACCGGAACAGGTGCAGGAAGAGGAGTGAGAGTGGTGCTGTCACGAAAGAAACAGCGCGAGGCGCCGGAGTCCAACGCGAAGGTGTGCAGGGCCTCAGCAGGCACAGTACCAGGGGGAGTACCAGACGCACTAGCACCTAGAGCAGCAGCGACTATACCTGGGTAAGGCGGCACACACCGGTAACAGTCACCCTCAGCACTAAAAGACAAAGCATACATGGCAGAGATAATAACATCAAAGTCTAGGTCAAAGATAGCAACTCTTGACTGAAGCAACTGCGCCCAGCTAGGGCGCTCGACGTCGTCACCAGGCTCACTACGCCAGGCGTCGTCAAGACGGGCAAAGCAGCGGCGCTCAGTGTGAAACCTCTCGCATATCCGGCCCGCACGGGCACCCGTGCGAATGACATACAGGCAGGTCTCACTATCCTCACCCGCCCCACGCTGAACCAACCACTCACGGAGCTGCTGGGGCGTCTGGGTCTCGCTCCGACGCTGCTGCTGCTGGCCCCGACCACCACCAGGGCCTCCACGCTGAGGTCCAGACCGACCAACACTGGTCCCACCGCCTCCACTGCCGCCACTCCCTCCGCTGCCTCCACCGCCGCCACCAGTGCCTCCACCTCCGCCACCGGTCCCACTGCCGCCACCACCTCCACCGCCTCCACCTCCTCTACCGCTGCCCCCACTACCGCTCCCACTGCCACCTCCACCACCACCGCTGCCTCCTCCACTACCCCGGCCACCCTTGCCCTTGCTGTTGCGGCGCTTCGCACTAGTCGAAGTAGCACTAATGTCCTCAGGAACAGAGACGTCTGCAGCAGCAGAAGAGGCGAAGGAGGAGGAAAGGGGGGAGGGGGAGCACCCCTCAAAGAAGGGTGAGCGCGGAGTGCCACGAGCAGCACCTACAGCAACTGCACTAGTCTCAGCTGCGAGGAGATGCTGCTCGAGGAGGTCAACAGTGAGGGAGGTGGGGTCGAGGGTGAGGAAGTGGTCCCTGACAGAGCGAAGGGAGTCAGGGAGGCGAGTGACTATGAAGTAGAGGGTGATGAACATGGGGGGCTGGTTTGTGGGAAGGAACTCAGCAGGGACGGTAGCGCGGTAGCGAGCGTCGCTAGTGCGTAGGTGGGTAACCAGGTCCGCTACTGTGGCAAAAGCCGACAGCTCAGGGAACAGGTAGGGCAGTAGCAGTCTGCCAATAGCAGCAGTGGCAGGGGAGGAGTAGCGAGCAACGACAGCGTCGTACAGGGCCTGTGCTGTCCTGTGCTCTCCAAAGTGAGCACATTCGGTCGCAGGCAGGTGGTTGCGAATGGCTAAGCGGGCAGTAGCGTCACGAGACAGCCACTGGGAATAAGTCGAAACATCAGCTGTGGCGGGAGGGGCTGGAGCAGCACCGGACACGTGGTCAAACAGTGAGACACTCTCCTTAAGATCGCTCAGTAGGTACAGTTGCAGATCGTCATGCCACGTGTCAAATGCTACATGCCTGCCCTCCGGGTCGAACGCAAGAACTCTAAGCGAAGCCATAGTGGCGCAGGGCTTAGGAGCAGCAGTAGCAGTAGCGAAGGGGCGGAGCCGAGGGGCCTAGGGGCCGAGGGGCCAAACAAGAGGGCCGAGGAGGCAAGGCCTAGTAGCCGAGGCTAGGGGCCGAGGGGCCTAGGGGCCGAGGGGCCAAAGAAGGGGCCGGGGGGCCTAGGCGGCCAAGGGGCCAAACACACGGGGCCGAGGGGCGGGGCCGAGGGGCCAAACAAGGGGCCGGGCGCAGGGCTAGGTATGGGGCCGGGCGCGGGTTAGGAACGGGGCCGGGCGCTGGGCAGGTACGGGGCCGGGCGCTGGGCTCTGAATTTGGGCCGAGGGGCCTAGGGGGCCGAGGGGCCAAACACACGGGGCCGAGGGGCCAAATAAGGGGCCGGGCGTGGGTGTTGACGGGCCGGGGCTAGGTACGGGGCCGGGCGCTGGGCGAGGGACTGGGCCGGGTGCGGGCGTCGACGTGCGCGGGCTAGGAAAGGGGCCGGGCGCGGAGCTAGGTACGGGGCCGGGCGCTGGGCTAGGAACGGGGCCTAGCGCGGGCTAGGTACGGGGCCGGGCGCGGGTGTCGACGGGGTGCTGGCTAGGTACGGGGCCGGGCACGGGTGTCGACAGGGCGCGGGCTAGGTAAGGGGCCGGGTCGCGGGCTAGGTACGGGCTGGTCGCAGGCGTCGACGGGGCGCGGGCTAGGTACGGGCCCGGGCGCGGGTGTCGACGGGGCAATCGCGAGCTAGGTATGGGGCCGGGTCGCGGGCTAGGTACGGGCCGGTCGCGGGCGTCGACGGGCCGCGGGCTAGGTACGGGGCCAGGCGCGGGTGTCGACGGGGCGATCGCGGGCTAGGTACGGGCCGGGCACGGGCGTGAGAAAGGGCCGAGCGCGGGCTAGGTACGGGCCTATCGCGGGCTAGGTACGGACCAGGCGCGATCAGGAGACTGGGCCGGGCGCAGGCTAGGTACGGGCCTATCGCGGGCGCGGTACGGGCGAGGCGCGGGGCTAGGAACGAAGTAGCAGGTGGTGGGCCCAATAGTAACCTTCTCTAATACCATATTAGAATCAGTGATGAGAATGGTTGACTAGGAAGCAAGGAAGGGTACAAGTAGAATGTCGAGAGAAATTGTGTACCCCCTAAGGCTAAACCCACTACAGCCTAGAGAAATGTACACACATATGTTTGACAACGTGGGCTCCGGCCTGCTAGCAATGAGCGTGTTGTGCTGGGTGGTGAAGAGGATGGATCTCCTGACCAGCGCCCTCCGTCGCAGTGTGACCAACATGGACAAGGTCAACGTTTCGGGGTTGAAGGGGCTGCGGAATGGGATGATAACATTTGTCAAGGAGCACGTCGCTCTCAAACGGTCGGGCCATGTCGCAGTTGCTGCCGACGCCTGTGACGACGATGGCGAGGAGGCCCTTTCGGCATCCCAAGCAGTAGGTGTCGCCCACACCGTCGATGATGCGCGTGGGACTTCGATCGGAGAGCCTGGAGGTGGCGTCGACAAGGCATATGAGGAGGCAGGAAGGGCGGTGACTGGGGCCGCGGAGAAGCACCAGGACAAGGACGTCCATCAGGATGATAACGAGGATCAGGAAGAGGAGGACCATGAGGATCGTGAGGAGGAGGAGGAGGAGGGGGGCTCGGAGGAGGAGGAGGAGGTGGTGGTGGAGGAAGCGGAGAAGCAGCAAGAGGGGGAGCAGGAGGAAGAGGTCGAGTGGGAGTTGGAGGAAATGGAGGCGGAGTACGTAGAGGGAGCGGCGGAAATGGGTGGGAGGTCGGCGGATGTTGTGAACGAGGAAGAGGAGGATGCCGACGACGAGAAAGTCGGCGTGGAGGCGGCTCACGGGGGGAGTGAGAAGGTCGTGGTCGGCGATGTGGTTGGCGACGCGAAGGAATTTGTCGACCTCGAGGCCGTTGGAGAAGGGGATAACGTCGCGGCCACAAAGAAGACGGGCGTGGAAGGGCCAACCGAGGCCACCGCAGGGAAGGCCGGGGGGGGGGGGGGGTCTAGGAAGAAGAAGGCGGCGCGCGGTCATCCCGATTCCTCCGCATCTGGTCGGCAGGCACCGCTGGACGACGTCGAGCAGCTGCGACAAGAGAACAGGCGGTTGACGGCAGAAAATGCCCGTCTGGAGAAGGCGCACGAAGAGGAAAGGGGTCGGGTGGACAGGTTTGCGTTGGGGATACGTGGACTCCTCGACAAGCTCCAGTCGTTGGCCGACCAGGTCGCCGTCTCCGACCATAATGCGGCGGCTGCTAGATGCGACGTCGGCCGTGTCGACAACCATCACGGACAACATCACCAACCACATGGACGAATCGTGGAAGGCGATGAAGTCCTTCGCCGAACAGGCGTCGATGTGGTTGGCGGAAATCGACGGTCCGGAGGGAAGTATGGCAGTTGAACACGCAAAAGCGGTCACCGCCTTGGCCAACCACATGGAAGTGGTGGTGGACGATGCGAAGCTGGGTTTGGAGGACTACATCTCGAAGCACCTAGCCGCCGCGCAGACCAACATTGCCGCCGCGGTAACTCGCAACATCGCCGTGCCGCCACCGCCCCCGCCACAGCCCACGCCAGCCTTCCCGGATAAGCTCATGAAGTCGTTCAAGGCGGACGTGTTGAAGGCGGTGACGGAGGCCACCCATCAGTCGTTTGTTGCGTCCGGGTTAAATCTCATGACCGAGGTGATCGGCAATGTGGCGCCTGGTTGGCGTGGGTCGTCACCGTCGGCCAATGACGCCGATCCCACGCAACGAAGGGAGGCCGACAAGCAGGGCCAGAAAAGGGCGGGCGGCGGAGATGATGCGGGGAGCGTGAAGCGGAGCAAGGGAGCCGATGGGAGCTGCGGCGTCGGCGCAGTGGGTCCAGGCGGCTCGCGGACTCGAGATCCGAGCGTGGTCGACCAGCTCAAGAAGAACGGGGCCAATGTGATAAGGTCGCACAGCAAGGGCGATGGAATCAGGAGTGCAGATGGGGGCCATGCCGACGAGGTTGCCGCTCAAGACGCTGGACCAACAGCCTCGCCCCTGGTCGCCGAGAAGCCCCATGGTCTGGCGAGCGGCAGGAAAGGCTTGAGCGACAAGGAGATCCCAACCGCTCAAACGGCGATAGATGGCGGCGCCAGAACCGTCAAGGGACCGTCGGTCGGGGTGGCGGGGACCACGTTGATTCCCCGTAAACCCCCTGCGGCTAGCAGCGCGCCGGTCGGCCTGTTAGCCGCCAACAACGATGGGCCGGCCCTTGCGGCTACTCCAGCTCCAGCAGGCCCGTCTACCGCCAAGGGCGACGCGAAGGATGCTGCAGCTAACCGCGATGGTCCGTCCGCCACTAAGGTGCCCGCAGCGGCGAACGCGCTCAGGGAAATGCTCCACCGCATGGAGGCCCATCGCAACAACGTGCAGCAGCCTCCCTTGGTCGATGCCGCCCCCGCCGAAACAGCACGTCGCTCGGTCACTCCGCAGGTCGCCGCCACAACGTCCAGTGCCCCACCTACCGCACCTCTGGTCGCTGCCCGTCCTCCTGCGGACCCAAAGTCCGCATTGCTTCGTGCCCGGTTAGGCGCACGTAGTGCGGCAGCGCCAACACGGACTCAGCCGGAAGTCGGCTCAAGCGCGACGCCGACGTCGGCAAACGTAGCTGCACCCACACCCAGTGCAGTTGTTGTCGATGTGGCGGCGGAGAAGGGCGTGAGGGCAGCGCTAGCCACCGGCAGTGGAGCCGTTGACCCTGCACAGGCGTCGAAAGTTCACAACGATGCCGACATCGCTGCCATCCAGTGGTAAAACGCCCCGGGCACCCCCTGGCTCTGGCCATCTCGGATACGGCGCATGTGGAGCCCTTGGTGAGTCCCCCTGGCGGTTCAGCGGAGCCAAAGATGACCACTGATGCTGTCGGCGAGGGAAAGTCGAAACGGAAGGGGAAGGCCGACAAAGGGAAAGGGAGGGCGAGATCTCAGAGGGAAACACAGGCGATGTCGGCGACGAAGGAGATGTCGGCCGAGACAGGGAGGGAGAAGGCAAAGGAGAATTTGGTGGAGAAAGGGAAAGAGAAGGCGGAGGAGAATCAGGAGGAGAAGTCGGTCGGCGAGGGTACGTCGGCGAAGAAAGGGAAGGAGAAGGCGGCGGAGAAGGAGAAGAAGGAGAAGGAGAAGGAGAAGGAGAAAGGACGGAAGGGTCATGGCATCCGCCACGACAACTCGGGCAACGGTCTAGGGTGGGTGGGCGAGATTAAGGTGCTCGGCGCTAATCGATACATCGGCAAGTCGCGCGACAAGATGGAGCTGGCGTATCTGCACTCGATTGCGTACATCGTCTACAACGGTTACGTCAGCAAGGTCCTCATGGCCGAGCTCACCGGCTTGGAGGAAACCGAGTTGGAGAAGTGGAGGAAGGTGTGGGAGGAGGTCAAGATTTTGCCGACAGGGATGTGGACGGTGATATGGGCACGGGGCGCGTACCTTCCAAAAACACGGTAACTCGATACCCTTCGGCCGAGTGTTGATGGCGATGTCGGAGTCACTAATGGTCGCCTGGTTTCATGTGATTGTGTGACAGGTTCGATGATATTCTCTGCAAGTATCGAGCGTACAAGAGCTCAGGCGATGCGCACCACGACGCGCTCTTGCCGGCGATCTTGTTCCCCGTCGATGTCGTCACAAAGGAAGGCAAGGAGAAGTCGGATGCTATGATGTCGGCCCTGATAGGTCGCGTGTCCATGTGCGCTGCGTATGGGAAGGTCGCTGCGAGCGCGGCGAGGAAGGAGGGGGACACTAATGAGAAGACGATGATGGCAGCACATGCGTTATCGGCCTCCGCTTGTGCCGTGTGGTGCTTAGTCGAGAACGACGATGCCCAGGTGGTCGATGCTGTGGGCGAAGGGAAGGCGGCGGCGATGGTGGTCGGTGTGAGCGAGAAGACCGCCGGTGTCTTCAAGGAGGTCATGCAGGCGGTGCTGGAGGTCGAGATCGAGAGGGAGCAACCCCTCGGGGAGGTTGCGCACAACATCGCGCCGGCGCTGCAGAGTCTCGCTCTGCACCGGGTCTATCCGAGGGTGGATCATGAAGTCGAAGCCGGCGTGATCGCTAGAGCGACGGTGGAGACCTTGGCGTTCTGGGGAATGTGCCCCGTCGCCGGGCTGAAACTCGAAGAGATCGTCATCGCGGTGCCGTGTGACGCGCAGATGGAGTACGATATTGAACACAGGGGGAGGAAGGGGCAGAGGGGCAAGCAGGGCAAGGACAGCACGGGGAAGAAGGGCAAGAAGGGCAAGGATAGCACGGCGGCGTAGTCGGCGCGCGGAGGGAGCGCTAGGTGGTCTGATTGCTAGGGTGTATAACAGTTTGGTCTGGCCGGCGCCGATTGCGTAGTTCTTTTGTTGGACTTTTTTTTTTTGTGCTTGTAACTTTTTGTTTGTGTTTGCTTATGTGGTAGTGCATGTAGCTTTTTGGTAGTGCATGAAACTAGAACCCTCGCCGGCGATGTCGACCTGACCGCTACCCTCTGAATTGTACACTCACATGCTACTCGGGGATGAACCTTGTCGGCGTATATGTCGGAGTCCGACAATACGTCGGCGTCGTTTGGTGTCTGTCGACATAGAGGGTTTGGCTGTCTGCAAGTATATTCGGGTTGTTTGTTGGTCGGCGACCGACTGCAGTTACCATTGTTGGATCATCTAGGTTCGCATGGGCCCTGTTCTGTGCCTTAGGTTCTTCTTGTTTACCAACTTCCTGAACAATATAAGCATCATGGTTTGGTAAAATCGACCACAATTACAGCATCAAACTACGCACACGCATATGCTCCAAAGCTATTCATGCCGCCTTCTTGAGCTTCGTCGGAGGACGCAGCACAGGTGCGGTCTGCTTGGCCATGTCGGCCACGGTCTTTGGCATCTGCTCCTCCTAGATGTCTGGACACAGGACGGCGACCCAAGCGCTCGGCTTCAAGTTGAGCGCCACCAGCGCACAGGCGAGACGAAGCTTCGAGACCGACTTGGGGCCCAGCCCCTTGACGCCCATGCCAGGCTCCTTGGACTTCGTCGATGCGGTTCCCGGTTTGAGCACCGTGAGGGCATCGCAGAAGGTCCCAATGCCTGGCGCCGCAATCTTGTTCAGGGCAGCGACGACGACTTCGGTGTCGGCATCGCCGTTGCTCGAGCGAAGAAGGCGCACTGCATCCATGGCCTTCAACATGCGGCGCACCTTCATGCCGTGTGGACCCTGCATCGCGCCTTTGAGGAGGGTGTGGCGGTCGACGAATCCCGGCTCGGCGACCCTGTCGCAAAGACGACGGGTGTCATCGGCGGTGGCGGAGTTCCAGAGGCACCAAGCGTCCCTCACGGTCTTTGCCTCCCGCCAAGGTTGCACCACGTTGAGCTCGTAACAAGCCTCGTTGACCGTTACTGGGGGTTTCGGGGGTTTCTCATCCCGTTTCTTGGCTCTGGCCCCCGTACTGGCCGAATCCGCGGAGCCACTCTCGCTCGGCGCTTGCTCGTTCCCCGACGGCGGCGCCGCCGGCATCCTCCGTGCGTCTGACACACGGAGTGCCTCGGTGAGACGGGTTATCTCGGCGGTCAGCGTCGCGATGGTATCGTCGCGCTTCTCAATCTCCTCCTAAAGGTCAATCTTCTCGACCGCGGAGTGCTCCCTCTCGTACTTCAGCGTCTCCTTGAGGGACATGTTATGGTATTTGGTGTCCAAGCGGACGGAGATTGCCTGCAGCACAAGGCGGAAAGGCGAAAATAGTTTAGAATAAACCCGTAACAGATCGACGCCGACTTAAGCGACGGTTTACCTCTGGCTGAATGAGGGTTGGGTCCCGACGTTTGTTGATCGTTTCGGTGTCGATCTTCTCGACCCTTTTCGCCCAGTGCTGAAAGAGGGCAATCCGACAGAGCTTGGAACCTTGGACGTACGGGTGCCAAGGGGTGCGGACGAGCTTCACCGCGAGGTCCTCGGCGACGATGCGGCGCATCATCTAGAGGGTACGCCAGAAGTGCACGGCGGCTTTGTTGGCGTCGCTCCCTTTGGCAGCACGCGTTTCCGCCTACACGTCTGCAAGTGATGTGGGTTAGTAAGGTGTTGGGCAGCCAACGAAGCTATGGCGACGTAAGGACATTGTCGGCATCGACTAACATACATCGCGCAGCAGAGCATCCACGCCGGGGAAGATGTGCTCGGCAATGATGTTCAAGAGTTTGTCACAGGGCTCGACCCTGCTGCGACCCAAGAAGTAGTCTTGCTTGCAACCCGAGTAGCCGGCCTTCCTCATCACCATCCCAACGGGAATGGTTGTGATGTAAGCACGCGTCATCTTCTCGAGTGCCCAGTGACCCAGCTCGGCGATCTCGGCGCGAGGCGTCCCTTCAATGGCTAGCTTCTGCGCACCTCCGGCGCGAGCAGCGTGCACGTTCCGCTTGCAGAACACCTTGTTGGTCGTCCACATTTACTGCGTCCAACGTTGGTGGCTGGCGGCGGAGAGCTCTTTTTGCTCCTTGTCATTGCGGGCGAAGAAGAGGTGCTTCTTGCACCAGCGCTCGCGGTCGGTGGTGTCAAGCGGCGGAAGGAAGTCGACGCCGTTAAACTGATCGATCTGGTCAAGGATGAAGTGCAACCACAGGCCGGTCTCGCCGACGGCGCACAACTCCGCTTCCAGGTGTCGCGCCGCGTAGCTCTGCTGAAGACGGGCATCCTTGGAAGTCTTCGAGTTCCGCGCGGCGATCACCATGACGACCGGCTGGTTCTCCGGGCTCACTGACGAGGTGCTAGCCAGTCGGTACAAGAAGATGTTGGAGAGCGTGATCTCGCGGATGCTGGCGCCTCGCAGGAGAGTGTGGTGGGAGAGTAGCGTGAGCGCCTTGGTGAGCAGAAATCGCCACAGCGTCTGCGAAGGAGCTGTTGCCCGCGGGTTCCATGCCGACGCCGCCCATGTTGGCGGCACCTTCGTCATGATCTGGCGGAACTGTTCGGCGGTGTAGGTATCGCCGACGGTGCCGCGAAGCCGGTCGGCACAATTCCTGCCCACAAAGCCACAACGTATCTTTAGTTTGACGGCGTCGACTTCAGAGTGACGTGGACAGAGGTTGGCGGTGTCGACAAACTTACTTGACGTCCCTCTCGTTCTTGGTGCGGACCATGAACCGCACCTCCGATCTGACCACCGAGATCTCCCGCATGATGCTCAGCTCCTTCTCCCGGTAGAGCGTCGCCTCCACTCTCGCTGCCGTCTGGCATGCCTTTATGCGCCCGAGGAGCGTGTGCCCCGTTGTACCTTGCACAGGCTGGGTTCGCGAGGCATTGCTCCCCTCCTCGATCGACTCGGCATCAAGCTTACACTCACGTATCATGAACTTCACGTAGGCGCGCAGCCGTGTTTTGGTTACCCTAGGGCCGTGCAGCCAGATGTACTCCCGGGGGACCTCGGCTACTTTGTCCCAATTCTTCTTCTTGTTGTCCTGGATGTAGTGGCCCATCTCGTCGACGTGCCTAAGCCTATGCTCCTGGGGAAGCTTGTCGCGTATTTGCTTCAGCATCTTCGCCGCCCACCTCTTGTAGGTGTACAGTCTCAGCGTGCTATTCTTCTCCAAGGTTTGTAGGTGGCGTAGGGCGTCTATGACCAGCACGTCGATGCAGGCGTAAACTATGTCGTCCTCGACGAAGTCTACCGCTCTCCACTATTCGCGTGGCACCGCCATGTTCTACTCGTCCTCCTCCTTGTCCTGTTCGAGCAGGTTATCTATGTATTCAAGTTCCCGCCGGAGGCGTTCTTCCAAGGTGCGCGGATTCGTGCTACGCGGAGGACACTCGTCGTATTCGTCGTCGCTCTCCTCCTCCTCCTCGTCGTTGTCATCAACCTGGTTTCCTGAGCCGGCCGGTACCGACGAAGGTCCAGACTGACCATCTTGCGTCGGGGTCGACTTACTAGCTGGCTTCGTAAACTCCCCTATCGGCGGTGGGGGAATGTCCTTGGTGAACTCCCCTTCTGGAATCCGTGTCAGTGCGTCAAGATCGTAGAGTAACTTGAGCGTCTCTTCGGGGGTAGAGGTCTGATTGTGGTCGGTTGGGGGACCAACGTCGGACATGTCGACGTCGGCCATGTGGCCGCTCATAGTTTGCTCTACCGTCGACTGTATTAGAGGTAAAGGATGGACCTCCAGAGACGGTACTGAGTCACGGGTGCGGTGTACGCCCAATGAGTTGCTCAGGCGTCTTCTTCGAATTCTCTCTCAGGTGCTTCTAACTCAGCAGCGAGCTCGAGGCGTTCCAGCTGCGCTTTGATGGCGGCGTCTATAGAGTCGGCAGCGGGTGGGATGGGTTGCGGCTGTTGGGCTCTAGGTCGTCCTCTGGCCATGCGTCGCCGACCTAGTTAGTTTCTTTCGTCCCATCTTGCTTGGTCGGTAGAGCTGTTGATACTATGCTGAGATGCTGCCCTAAAACATCCGACGTCGACGTCGACGCGTTCTGACTGTTCGGTTACCTAAACACTGACTCGAGTAGTGTATGCCAGATAGACGCTACCGGTGCCGACGTGATCGATTGGTCAGCGCACGAGTAACCCAGACTCGTGAAGATAGCTAGGGGGCGGAAAATTCTAAGTGCAAGAGAGAGCAGGAAGGAACGTATGAACGGACAAGGGAATGAGCACCAGCGCAAGGTCATGGAGGGGTATGGTCGTGAGCGACTTCGATTCTGCCGCGTTTCACGCAACCCCCTATGCTTGTGTCGTTATGCATGTGTTCTCGTGCGGCGGCACAGTCTCCGACGTGCCACAGGCCATGCATGGCTAATGGGTCGCCGCGCTGCACTCAAGGGGCGTAAGCCTGGGCAACTCCACGGTGGAATGTGCGTGCGTTACATGGCGTGGGCCCATCATTGGTGCCTCTCTGCAGAAAAGTCGGCATGCCGACTTCCATGGCCTAAGGGCCCGGGATTATTGAAGAGCAGCGTGGCAAGCCCACCGTGAGCCCCTCGTGGTCGGCGCCGACTTTCCTGCAGTGCGCTAGGGTGTGTCTTTAGATTCCTTTAACCAAGACAGTGTTAATGCACTAACCGATTGTGCCGCGTGGCTTGGTTTAGGCCGTTGGATCCGTAGTCGACACCGACATGGCGAGCATCTCGCGATGCCAGGCAACTGTAACATTTTTTTACCAACAGATTTTCACCGCGTGGATTGGCCACTGACAAATTTGGGCGCGTAGTCGAGTTCCCGCACGAAGGAGTTAGACCAGTGGAGCGACGCGTGGCCACGACGTGGGCGTCGAGGCAGCCCAATATCCTCCCGCGATGTTGGGGACGATCTGGATCGTCCTTAAAAGGTCGCGTGGCTGAAATCGCGGCTCGACGTGGCGTGCTGGGATTTTTTGTCCGCTGAGATGTCCTTCTCGGGTTTCTCTCAGCGAAACCTGAGGTCGTCAGATTGTCGACAATCCCGAGGGCTCCAGGGGCCCAGAGGTCTGCCATTTCGCCCCAGTTTGCCACTCGGAGTCGTCAGGAGTTCGTCAATCCCGAGGGGGGTCCTTGTCCTATCGAAACCGCGAAATTGGGCGGCATTTTTTGTCCGCTGAGGTATACTATCCCTTAGCACCTTACCTCTTTCTATGTGCGGTGGAACCACTGGCGCAGAAGGTGGAGAAGCAAAAGATAGGGATTACTCTCACCAGCTGTGTGGGCCAGAGGCTGGCTTACATCGGCTACGCGGATGACACGACCCTCCTGCTACAAGGGAAACAACAAATTGGCAGGGCAGAGGAGGTGTTGGAGGATTTTAAGAAAATCTCTGGACTGGAGACGAATAAGGGGAAATCGGTGGTGATGCCACTGGGCGTTAACTTGGGGAAGAAAACCTGGCGCTCGGATGGCTTCCGATGGGCTGACGCAGATGAAGCGGAGAGACTCCTTGGGGTGTGGGTCACGCCGAGCGGGAGCTGCCAACCGACATGGGATAAAGCGCTGCAGAAAATTGCCGGGAAGATGACGTTGTGGCAGCCGCAGTATCTCCCAATCAATACTCAAACGGCAGTGATGGACGGATATATCCTGCCGATCGCGTGGTCCCAAGCCCAAGTCTACCCACCGCCTGCGCAAACCTGGAGTGTGATCACTAAGATGACACACAATTTCATGTCAGCTAACAAAGCAACATCAGAGAAATGTTTTCACCTGTGGAGCAAGGAGCTGCTGTTCACACCGGTACTGGACGGATGAGTGGGGGCGAAATACCCGGAGGCGATGCTCACCTGCTTGACTGCTAGGAGAATTGGGCTGATACTTACGGAGACGAATCAGCTAAAACGGAACCTGATGAGCCAAGCAACTGACCTACCACTGGGGCGGGATACGTTCCTGTCTCACGAGAAGCTGCTGAAAAACTGGGAGGGGAAAAGCCAGAGATGGAAACTGGCATGCGCAAACTTCATGCGTTCTCCGCTGGCGGTGTCCATGGAAGAGCGCGGGACAAGGGAAGTGATGCTGGAACGAGTCGTTTTTAACAGACATGTCCTCCTAAAAGGGACCACACTGGTGGGAGGGAAGAAAGCAGTGAAGCGGCTATTCTATGTCAGACTTGGCGATCTTGTCGGTCGAGATGCGAAGGGTAGAGGAGTGCTGAAAAGTTTTGAAACCCTGGAGAGAGAACTGCGGGGGAGAGATTCGGCAAACCTGGCGCTCAAAGCTTTCGCAGCAGCACCAGATTCCTGGAGGAAACAGCCCCTCTCTGCCGAGCTTCCCAGCGTGGGGTTTGCGGAGGTGTTTGAGGTGGAAAGAAAGGGCCCCTTGCAGCTCCGCGCAAAGCTTTTGGCGGAGGGGGAAGCAGTACCGTTGAGGGCGCTCAAGAAACATTGGAGGCACTGCAACAGCGGAAAGAACAGGCGGGAGAAGTGGGCGAGCCGGTGGAGTGGTAATATCGACTGGAAGCGGGCAGTACAGATTCGTGAATCACTTGTTACCCCGAGCTGGCCGAGAGATGTTTTGCTACGCATCCACTGCCTCAACCTGCAAGTTGGGGAAAGACTGGAATTCCTTAGCAGCAAACTAGTCTGCCCCCACTGCGGCGGCTTTGAGACATTGGAACATTGCCTTCTAGAGTGCCCGAAAACCCAGGGGGTGGTTACTGCGGTAAAAAGGGCCTTACGGATGATCAATCCAGCTAGGCGAAGTGAATCGCTTGGTGACTGGTTGTTCCGCAAGGCGGAGTCCCTGTCAGCATTCCCAGAAGCATCATTGATAGCCATTGCGCTTCATCAGCTATGGGCAAAACGTTGTGAGGGGGCCTTCCGTGGCTGCAAATTCCGCACGAGAAGGGTTCTGCGGAGGATTGAGTCGGCCTTCCGCATGCATGTGAACTGTCAAACTATATGTTTGTGTTCTCTCTAGGCTATAGTGGCTAACCCACTATAGCCTAGAGAGAACACAAACATACAGTTTGACACACCCCCATAGGCTAAGTGGGAGAGAGCAACCACAACAGACGGTCACACGACCAGTCAAGCAAGAGAACAAGCAAAGCAAAGCTCAGGGTGGATCTCCAAGACACCACACAATCTGAGCACAAGCAAGCGGCCACAAGGCCAGTTCAGATGCAGAGTTATAATAGCAAGGCAGTACACTGATCACAACCTAGCAAGAGTAAACAAGCATGTATAAAGATATGTATGTCAGTGTACAACAAGAGCAAGTCAAGCAATTAGCGGGTGAGCCACAGTGGGCACAAGCCCAAGAGCAGTGCAGAAACGCTGATGATCATCAGACCCAAGGGCCTTGGTGAACACATCAGCAGTGTTGGCCCGCGAGGCCACGTAGGAAAGGCGGAGCTGACGACGCTGCTGCAGCTCACGTGCAAGGAAGTAGCGAAGAGCAATGTGCTTCGTTCTGTGCTCTAGTCTCTGCTTGTCACACAAGGCAAGCATTGCCTTGTTGTCGATGTACAGAACTGGAGGAGAATGAGGCCGCTCCCCCAAGTCGGTCAGCAGGTAGTTCAGCCAACGTAGCTCCTGTGCAGCCATGACCCCTGCGTAGATCTCGGCCTCACAGCTGGAACCAAGCACAGAAGAAGAACGAGTGGACCTCCACGAGACAGAACAAGAGCCAAGACTGAAGGTGTAACCCTGTGACGAACGCTGAGTCGCCTGGTCGTCGGCCCAAGAAGCGACGGAGTGTCCAGTGAGTACCACTAAACCCCGTCCTCCAAGCACGAGCCCCATGCCCGATGTACTGTACAAGTAACACAAGTACCCTCTTTGCAGCATCCCAGTGCACCTTGTAGTGTCTACCGGGAGCCACGTAGCGAGCCAAGAGGCTGAGAGGGTACGCAAGGTCAGGTCGTGTGCAGGTCATCAGGTACATGAGGCAACCCACAAGCTCTAGGTACGGACCACTCGGCTCTACGGACTCGTCCGAAGGTGGAGCTGAGAGCGAGTGGCTGGTAGACAGAGGAGTGGGCTGTGGCGAGGAGAACTGGAAGCCAAAGCACTGAAGG